TATATATAAATTAATTAAAGTTAAGAGGATGAAGTGATCTGTCCATGGTCAAGTGGTTGATAAGCAGTGGGTCTTAAAGAGCTGCTATCCTTTCCAGGAAAAATTTCTGTATGTGATCTTTCAAGTTTCATTATAGACAAATTCAGGGCTTTGCTTGTGAAGCCCCATGGGAGGAAGGTGCCCTCCTCACTGCAGATCTGATACCGTCTGTGCACTGTAGTGTTCTGAAGTAGACTGAAGTTCAGGGTTTGAGAGTAGCAACAAAGAACCCAGTCAAGTGTCAGGCTCTTTATAGCTCAGGATCCATGCTTTTGATTTCCAGCTAACCCTGCCTCTACTTAGTTAAATATTCCATCATATGTACAACAAAGCAGTGCATATCTCTGTGTGTTTGCACAGTATTTCCCTTTTCCAGTCCTTTCCATCTCCTCCTCAGACTCTTTAGTTATCTTTAATACCGAGACTTCTCCAGTGAGGTGACATGGACCCCCTGAAACATTACTGGATATTACCAATACTCTTAGTTTCTCTCCAGAACTTGGTGGTTAAGACCCTATTGGGGAAGACACCACATTCTTGTGTCATTTAAATAACGTGGAGAAATTAAGCTGGTACTGACCTTCAAGCTTCCGCCCTACTGGCTAGCTTTCAAAGTGCTGGAAGGTATTACCAAAGGAGAAAAATAATCATTAATCTTATTCCGCTGTGAACCCTGTGAACTGCAATAACAGCCAGCCTGGCAAGATATGCCCACTGGTACAATAGTGGCACAGACCTCATGGGAGTAATCATACACTTTCCGATAGGATTTAAGGTCAGATCCATAATGTGAAATCCATAGCTGGCATTGTTATCACAGTCAAGAATTTGTGACTAGACAGGTCTTAGACCCGAGGGGACAACCTCTTGCTGTTATTATATAAATACAGAGTATTGAAGGAACAACAATGACTCATTGTTAGACGCATAGATTAGTGTATTTCACAACCCGCTTTAGAGAAGCTTCTTTTTGCAAAAGATGACAAGTAACACAGAGAACCACAACTGGTAAAGATGCAGAGAATAAGAAACCATGCAATGTTCAGTCCTAAGTATCTGTGCCATACACACACCTTCCTGAGGTTCAGGGATTATTTCAGAATGATTGTAAGAGCTGTAAGTGTTGGAAGACTATAAGGAAACAGTGTTTTCCAGACAGCAGGGCAGTTGTACATCAATTGCGACAGCATGCACATAAAAGCACAAGCTCAAGTCAGACAAAATCCTGCATGGAGGGAACAGGTGGACACAATGTCCCTCCTGTAGGTGAGGATCTATGAGTGATTGATAACTGCTGGAAGAGGGAGAGGAAGAAGGAGAAGGGAAAGGAGGGGGAGGGGACTAATGTCCCTCCCCTAGGTGAGGAGCTATAAGGCAATTGATAGCTGCTGGGAGAGGGGGAGGGGGAGGAGGAGGGAGAGAAGGAGGGGAACGGAGGGAGAGAGGGAGAAACAGTTTTCTTTAAGAGTGTGGCATCTGGTGGGTTGACCATGCTCCAGTGGATCACCCCACACCCAAAACTATCTGGATAACACAAATTGGACTCACTGGGTCTAAAAGAAATAAAAAGAGGATGCAAAGTTGAATAGACATGGGAGGAGTTGAAGAAGGGGTGAATATGATCAAAATACATATTACCAGGCAAGGTAGTACACACCTTTAATTCCAACACTCTGGAGGCAGAGGCAGGCATATCTCTTTGGAACCTAGGTCAGCCTGGTCTACATAGTAAGAGAGTTTCAGGCTGGGGGGGCTATAGGGGACACCCAGTCTAAAAGAAAGAGAGGGAGAGAGAGAGAGAGAGAGAGAGAGAGGAGGAAGGGAGGGAGGAAGGGAGGGAGGGAGGGAGGGAGGGAAAGGAGGAAAGAAGGAAGGAAAGAAAAAGACATTTTATGAATTTCTCAAGGAACTAATAAAATGCTTTTTAAAAAGAAAAAAATGCTCAAACTTCCAGGGTGTTCCATATAGAGATTCCTGCTGTGTTCTCTGATTTTTCATAGCTTGGGTGTATACTTATACTGGGCCAATTACTGTATTCCATTGGGATTCTCTCTCTCTCTCTCTCTCTCTCTCTCTCTCTCTCTCTCTCTCTCTCTTAAAGATAAGGAATTCATATTTGTACGTCCACTTAACCATAGTTTGGTACTGACCTAGTGTATTATAGCATAAGGAAGGGGAAAAAAATTATATCAAGCAAAATTTAGCGAATTTCTTTAGTTCAAAAAATTTGTACTTTTAAGTTTGTATATGTTAAAAACTGCATGAAAGCACTTTATGTCGATCATCCAAATACATTTATACTAGAATTAATTATTTTACGTATTTTTTATTTTTATTTTATGTGTATGTGTTGCCTGCATATAGGTAAGTACACCCAGGTCGTGCAATGCCCAAAGAGGACAGAAGAGGCTGTTGGATCCCTTGGAACTGGAGTTACGGACAGTTGTTAGTTGCCATGTGGGTGCTGGGATTCGAACCCCAGTCTTCTGCAAGAAAAGCCAGCGTTCTTAACTGCTGAGCCATCTCTCCAGTCCCAATTTTTTTGGTTGATGTTGTTGAGGCAGGATGTCCCTGTATCCCCAGCTGACCTGGAATTCCCTGTGTAGGCCTGGCTGGTCTCAGTCTCACAGAGATCTGCCTGCCCCTGCTTCCTGAGTGCTGAGATTAAAGGCATGCACCACCACATTCAGGTTTAGAATTGATTTCTTTTTAAAAATTACTCATAGAAGCTGGAGAGATGGCTCATGGGTTGAGGGCACTCATTACCCTTCCAGAAGACCCAGATTCCATTCCCAGTACTCACAGTCACATGGTACCAGGAATTACTACATCAGTAACTCCTGTTCCTGGAGATTTTTCTATGCCCTCTTCTGGTCTCTATAGGCATTGCATGCATGTGGCACACTTCCATTCATGGAGATAAAAGTCATACAAATAAATAAATTAATTAATTAATTAATTTTAAAGGGACTAGAAAGATGGCTCAGTGATTAAGAGCTCTTGCAGAGGACCCAGGTTTGGTTCCCAGCACCCACATGGCAGCTGACAATCATTCATCACTCTGATCTGATACCCTCTTCTGGACTCCTCAAGCATTGCATGTCATGAATTCACTTACATACACATAGGCAAAACACACACACATAAAACAATTTTTAATACAAAAATTAAGTAATCAGTATAAAACTCAACTTTTACCTGTTGACATTACAAAATGTCACAGCAGGGAACTCGATTTTCTCCACATACTGAACCTCTATAGATGTTGTAGTTGGCCATGTGAAGTAGTTGAGCAAGCGGCTATAGATTTGCCACACAAGGAGTGAGACAGAACCCAGAACTACAGACAACCAGATCACTTTGCGAGCTTTGTTCTTGTTCTGGGCAATATTGTATACCCCATGCAAGGAAGTGGAGATGGCAAAGTCATGATCAAACTTCTTTCGGTCAGTTGGAGATGGTAGCCGTTTCTTTGAAAGGTGAATCTTGATCTTTTCTAAGAGTCCTATGCCCATAAAATAGACCAAAAATGGTTATGAGTTATAAACCTTAAAGCCATCTATAAAAAAGTTTAACACACAAAGTACTAGACAGGTTATGCTCTTTATGTGCAATTCATAAAGGCCTAGGGGTCACCTTGCTTTACATGATTTTCTTAGAATCCATTGAGAATCTGCTAAAAGCCTTCTGAAGCATGGCTACTGTTAGGGAAAAGGAAATCCTGACATCACATGGGTATCTTGTCACATCCAGCTTCAAATTCAACTCACTTTGAATAAATTGCTTATGACAGCTCAGAATTTTAAGAAATAAGACTAATTTTTAAATTACTTTTTCTCCCTAAAGAACCACAAAGTTCTTTACATGTGATGGATAAATTAAGCTTATTTTGAGTGTTGTAAGTGAAATCACAAGCAATCATCTCATCAGTTAGTCTTTGTCTTACTGTCTTATGATTTAACTTTTGCTCTGTGACATCCATGCTTTGGACGCAGCTCTTTTACTCCTCTACTGGTCAGTCTGAATGCTTAAAATTCAATGTTGTGGTCAGGTAAGTATCTATTTCCTGCATGTTTAGAAAATGATTTCATCCTTTTGAGACTGTCAACAATCAAGTAAATAAAGATTATTAATATTAGTTGGTAGAAACGAGAGAAAGCTTCACTAAAATATATTCGATAACATGTAAAGTAACCATCCAGGTTTTTCCTTTGCATTCCATTGTTTTCATTTGGCGATAGAAGATGCACAACGTCTGTTCCGAGTTAAGAGATGAGATGCATCTGCAGCTGGAGGCTACAGCTTCTGGTCCAGGTCTCCTCCCGTAGTCCAGGCAACTTCAGCCAAATTTTTGATCCTTATTCTGCCTCTTCTATTAACTGACAGCAATAGCATCTGCCTCATGACTTTTCATATTAAATAATGCGTTATCTGGAAAGGGCTCATCACATTACACAGACTATGAGAAGTACTCAACAGTTTTAGATATTTATATTTTCTATTGATTCAGTGTAGTGAGATAGTAAATGGTTAAATATTCAAGTGATTGAGAAACCATTTGAAGTTCTCATTTAGAGAGTTGATCTTCCTAAAACAAGGGACTCTAGATAGACTGACTAGACTCAGCAGGTGAACTTGCAGTGGGTAATGGCTGGGGGCACTGATAACAGAGTGGGCAGTAACAGGGATGACAGAGTATATGGGCTCGAGTGGGTGGGGGGAAGCTATGGGAGGGTGCCATTTGGCATGGGGGTATAAAGATGATTAAGATTGTTTGGGATGTTCTGTATGAAATACAAAAAAAATTTTTTAAATAGATTAAATAAAAGAAAGAAATGAGTCATTGGACCACTGTGATACATTGGACCATCAGTGGATGAAAGCATTTGCTGTTGTATACCTGATGAACCTGAGTTCTATCCCTGGATCATGCATAAAGGTGAAAGGAGAGAGCTAACTCTATAAAACCTATCTTCTGGCTTCTAGACATGGGCAGTGGTACAACTGTGACCCCCCATACACACACTATACACACACAAAATAATAAATACAAATCTTAAAAAGAAATGAGTTTTCAATAGTCTTATAAATGCTTACAATAAATGTATTTAACTTTCTAGTCTTCTGCTTCAAGTCAATAAATACTTTTGTAAACAATCCAATATTAATTTACTTCCAAAAATCTTCAAATTCTACTTATCATTTCAACAGTATTTAATACCTTGATAATCTCCAAATAATAAGTTTTTTTCCAATTTGAGATATATAATGATATGTAAATTGTGTTTATCAACATTTCTTAAACGTCTTCATTTCATGTAAAGTATTTGGACACTTAAATTATATTACACTTTTAAAGATACTATTATGTAGCAATGTTTATATTAATACCATTTGCTTGATACATATGTTATCAATAAGTAACAAATAAAGTATCTGGTAAAGTTGCAGGGCAAAATCAGAAGCATAGAAATATTATAATTATTAATTATGAGGATAAATTTAATTAGGATCTTTTTTATTACTTAGTCATTACTTAGAAACACTTGGGAAGAATTTATGCCAATAAAATCAGCTCAGTCTCTAGGCACCTTTTGCCTTTCCTGTTGAGGGGATCAGGGCTATTAATGGGAAGAGTAAGCTTGTAACCAGTAACTACTAGGCACAGTAGAGCTGTGATACCACCTGAGAAACAGGTTCCAGACTTACCTTTAGGAACCAGCTCCGTTACTAAAGACCTACTCATTGGCAATTAGGTTAGCCTGACTGAAGCATTTTCTGCTACTTGCTAGAAATATCATAGTCTTTTTAATGAATATTTTGGATGAACAGTGAAGGTGAAGGTGATCTCTGCCTTCCAGAAAGACCAGAACTGAGAAGAAGGGTCCACTGTCCACATGGCAGACTCTTCACTTTCCTCACAGAGGTGCGTTACATGTAGTTATGGAAAGGAGCCTGGTGTAGAATGTTGATCACCATAGAAACACTTTCAGAACACTGAGCAAGTTTTGTTAAAAGTAAGATCTGTTTGTAGATATAAACAAATAAGCAACAAGAACAACAAAATAGATTCTAACATAATAATAGTAATATTTTCAAATTACTTTTGAGTTCTTCAAGTTACTCTTTTGATTATTAAAATCATATTATTCATTTTTAAAGTCATATTAAATATTTTGCAGATAATACTAGGACTCAGATATCCAAATGGATTAAATATACACCCCCCCTCCACTTATTTGTCTTAAGGAATGAACGTTGTCACTGTTCTGAGGATTTTCCTATTCACTTACCTTTCTTAGCATGGACTTTTGCTTTCTCGAACTGATCCATTTTTGCTGTCAGTGAGCCCAAGTCCTCAGGGTGCATCCAGTTTTCATCAGTAACAATATTCATTTTGTGGCCTTTATATAAAATACAGCAGTTGAGGTTGTAAAATGTGAGGGTAATTTAAATATTTATGTTGCTATGTTGAGCCTCATAAAGCACTTACTCCGCAAAGCAAAAACATTGATAGAACCAGCTATGGGCATTTGCAGACTGACAAGAGGCCACCAGAGAGGGGAAAACAGAAAGCGCCATTGGGAAACCACCTTCTCAAACAAAGAATCCTTGACAAGAAGCTGTGGTTTTACAGTGGTCTCTGACCACACTGGTCGATGCTATGGTGTCCCACACAGGGAAGTCGCCTCAGATGTTATCTCGACCTTTCTCGTTATAGAACCTTGATTCAAAATTAAGTTGGAATGATTTTTTGTGTGAAAAATAACTTTTTCTTGAATATTCTTTCATAATAGCAGATGGAGCTGTGTGTAATAGCAACAGTAGCCAGTGGAAATAGGAAATCATCAGAAAATATTAGCAAAGAAGAAATGATTTCTGAAATAGTACAAATTTGATAAAACACGAGGGCCAGTTTTTTTTTATTAATTCTTTTGAGAAATTATCATTTATTTGACTAATAAACGGGAATATGGATTAGCACGTATAAATGCTGCCATCTGTTGACCAAGAACAGAAATTACATGTCGTTCTATTAGAGCCCATTAGAGTTGCCATGGTGATATTTCATCATCAGCTAACCATTAAGACAGTTACCTACATTTTGCATATATTTAGAAATTTGAAAACTAACAGTAGTACGAGTTGAAACTAGGCTTATATGGACGTAAGCTAAGAAACTTCAGAGGATGTTAAGGGCAGAGACTTGGGGGTCAGTCTCCATTCACTGCAGGGAGGAGCAGGACAAATTTCATAATACGAATACCTCAGCGAAATCTCTCTTCTGTAGGGTTGACTTGCAGTTTGGGATACAGTCTCAGAATTCAGGTCCTCCTGAGAGCAAGTATTGATTCTGTCTTCCTTCATGGCTTATCATTGGCCCTTCGTTCTTCCCTTCTTTCCACAAGTCCTTGCAGAGCCCTTCCAATGTATACAGTTACATAATCCCGTGCCAAGTAGACCCGGCTGTCAGTTGCCCACTGTTTGAACTGCTAAAGGAAAAGTCTTGTTCTTTTGAGCGAGACTGGTCACAAGGGTTAGTCCACACAGGACAGGGGAATCCGGGAGTAATGAAGACAAGAGGAAGACGGGGTCCTCCGTGGAAGGAAAAGTCTGGGCCAAAAAGCAACAGAAAAACAGACCAAAAGCCCCCAAGTCACACTTGATCTGCTTCCTAACCTAAGGGAGGTGGCTGGCAGGCGTGCACGTGTGCTTAACTTCCCTGCTATTCACGTTCCTTTCACTTCCTCATTTCCGGGACACGACTTTTTGATATTTTCAGCTCTCCATTTCTTGACTATACCTATTGATAACAAATAAAAGAAAGCTGAATAATTTTATTCAGATTTCTTTACGCATCTGTTCCTCTCTCCCAAGAGGCTATGAACCAACAGCATGTGCCCTTCGTCACACTCATAGGAAAACCTCCCGTTCTCCTGTACTGTAAAGTGGGTTTCCCAGTGCTCTTTCCTTTGCTCCCTTTTGAGTTTTGATTTCATCAATGACTCACTGTCACCCCTCCTTTTCTACTGACTGTAGTAATCTTGAATTTCAACTTCTCTGTACAGTAAGGATTGCCTCTCCACTGCCCTCGATGTTTTGTTTGAAATCAGAACTCAGGATCCCCATCACAAGCACACCTTGTTCTTCTGATGACTTGGCTTCGTTGACTTTCTGAGAAGATATATAGACAACCTCACATTTCCTTCTCCTTTCCCTGCTCTTGACAGCTGTTTTGAATACAGGTGTGTGACAGGATAGATTCTGAAGTCCTTCGTGCCCTGTCCTCATCCTCTTCCTTACATACAAACACAAAGTAAGGACTTCCTTAGTCAACCTAGTCTAGTGGGAACTGTGAGAGCTTTCAGTATCATCAGCTTCCACTTTTGAACTGGCAGCTTCAACAGCAAAAGGTGACTTATTAACACTGACAAATGAAAAAGACTAACTGAAAAAAGGTGAAGAGACAACAAACATCAAACCTTTCATCTGACCTTTCACTTGGATTCTGGGGACAAGCACTATTTGGAATCAATATGTACTGTCTAGAGGAGTATATTTATCCTGGCCCACTATTTGCTATAAAGACACAAATGTGTGTTAGTTATTGAAGACATCCTTTGGCTACTACTTTTCAGTTTGGTTTCGAATTAAAATTTTGCATTTTATTTTCTCTTTGGGCATTGCATGCCCAATGCTAAGTGGTATTTTTATTATTTTTATTATTTTTAGATTTGGATCAGATATACTTTTATTTTACTTAAAATATTTTTTTACTTAATAATTTTGGAAAGTAAAACCAAAGTAAACCTTGAAAGGGTCAAGTTCTACTATAGGCTCTAAGTGTTGGTTAGTATTTTTGTCACAGTATTATTTTTTTATGTTACATAAAAGACACTCTTCAGTTTAAATGGTCAATTTATTTTCCTCTAAAAGTTTGAATTTCATGTTAGTAACAAATAATCTGTTAGTTGCATGTTTAATATTTATGGTAATTGCTCTGCTTGAAGTAACATATTGAATTTTTCTATATTTGGGAATTTGACATACATATGTAATGTGTTCTAATCAGATCTATCCCTACTCCCTTCCCTCACTCCCAACTTCCCCCATATCTTCTTCACCACATTCCCCTCTCAATTTGTGTATTCTTTTTTAAACCCACTGAGCCTATAGAGTGCTGCGAGTATACAGATGTGTATGAGGCCACCTACTGGAGCATGGGTATCCTTTTGGGGGTGGTATCCCTGAAGGAAATTAATATTCCCTTCCCCAGCAGCCATCAATTACTAATAATGCTTCAACTAGGAGTGACACTTCTTGAGCCATTCCCTCATTCATGCTGGGATTTTGGTTGGCTTGATCTTGTGCGGGTCTTGTGCAAAGAGTTCAGGCTAAACTGTCTCAGAGAAATGTACACACCACCCGCATCCCTCCAGGGCTCTTTCTCTATAGCTCTAATTCATACAAACCACATGGTGTCCCCTTTCCAACTCATCAAACATATGACTCGGAGGTCCCCACACAAAACTGGTTGGTATAAAGATTCCACTATAGCAGTACCTGTGCATCAGGCCACAGCATGGAGCTTCCCCTAAGTCTGCTTACTTTTTAAAAATTCTTCCAAAAAGCCTATCCTCTCCTTTTCTCCTTTATATCTCTCCTCTGGTCAAGCTTTCCCTAATTCTCTGGGCCACCCCAATATTTTAGGTTTCTTTTTCTCTAGAGCTCCCTTCCCCTCCACATCATGGGGCTGTTAGTCCACCACATTATCTGACCTCCATGCTGGCTTTAAACCTGCATGGCTTGATGGTTTTTCCCTTCTCCCTCATTCTTCTACTTAGTGTAGCTGTTTGCCTGCCCTGAGGATTTTTCTTTAAATGATAATAGAATTGTCCTAAAGCTTCCATTAAAAACAAATGAATGACTCCATTATATATTGCTTCTCACATTTTGGAGTCTGCAAGCATCTATTGTGTTCCTTTGATGCTTTATCTGTGAAAATGAAAAGGAAGAGAAACTTGATCCAAGCCCAACCATGTTGTGATGACTTGTGATGAACTCCGAGAGAGAGAGAGAGAGAGAGAGAGAGAGAGAGAGAGAGAGAAAGAGATATCTTCCCACCAAAAAGAACAAACCAGATAAACACAGAACCTAAATGAGTTTCAAGACAAGTGAAAAAACAGGACACAAAACACTATTGCACAGAATAGTTACTAAAAAAAAAAAAAAAAGTGCCATGTGCTGAGCCATTTGTTGCAAAGGAGATTTGAATCTCAGAGCTGAGCACTGATCAAGATTGCGCTAACGCACCTTGTTTCCGCTCCCCTTATCTGCCCAAAGTCCAGACACACTCAAGGAAGAATTCCTTCTAGTCCCTTTTCTGACGTTTCATGAATAAAATTCATACCACAGAAAGGTACATGGAGGAATGTCAACCCATCCAGAAAGACGTTGCCTTGTCAACTCACCTGGAGAGACATCGCCATGTGCCATTCTTCTGTATTTCAGATGTTGTCTCTGCTGTCAGCCAACAGGATTTGGTCCTTGCCATTGTCTCTGCTCTAAATCCACTGTGATTATCTAAAATATCATTTTTCAGTCCCTGAATTCCCTTTTCTGACCCTCCTTTATAGAATGGGGGTATGCAAGCCTTTGGACTTGGTTTGGTTAGTGGGTGGTGATGCTTGATGATTGTCTAGTCTATGCTTCCTTTGGCATGTTAATTAATTTGTATGCCTTTTTTTGGGGGGGTCCTTTTGAGACAGGGGCTCCCTGTAGCCCCAGCTGTCCTGGAACTCACTACATAGACCAAGCTGGCCTTGAACTCACAAAGATCCTTCTGTCTCTGCCTCCCGAGTGCTGGGATTAAAGGCATGTGCCACCATGCCCTTTTATCCCAGAAAATTCTACAATGAGGACCTATGTATACTCTTTACTTCCTTTCAAACTTCCCCACATTTGCTTTGTCTTCACTTCTGAAGGCAAAATCTTTTCTTGTTTAAGAATCAGGACATTCTCCTGAATAAATAGAATATAAGGATCCTATTAAGGAAACTTAGCCTTTGTATAACATTATTATTTGATATGCAGTCCATGTTCAAATATCCTATGCTCTTCCGAATTATAATTTTATGGTATGTAATTTCTCCAATCCAGGATCCAATCAAGGATCATAGATTGCAGTTTTTATGAGTGCGTAGTAATATTGATCCAGAATAGATCCATCTGTAGTCATTAATTTATGGGGCCTTTCTGTTTGTTTGTTTGTTTGTTTGTTTGTTTGGATTTTTGAGACAGGGTCTCTCTGTAGCCCCCAGTAGGCCTGGCCTCAATCTCACAGAGAACCACCTTCCCTCCCAAGTGCTGGGATTAAAGGAGTGCACCACCCCCTGAGCTGTTTTGTGTTGTTTTATTTACTTCTCATTTCATTCTATTGTCAAAGAATCCCTGACAGATGATTTGTAGAACACTTCTCAATACAGAGTTGTTTATTCTCCTCTTTGTGGGTAGGTTCAGGTCAAATATTTGTGGTAGGAGCCAGACAAATGATACTTCATTCTTCACAGTGCATCATGTTGAGAAGCCTCCGGTTCTCCTATACTTGGTGACTGACTGTGAGTTCATCTCTTGGATGGGAATCTGCCAAATCTCTCCTTTGTAAATGTATCTTTTCTCTTTCATAATTAATATGTAAATTGCATAGGCAGCTATTTTTAAAATAATATTTTATTAACTCTGAGGATTTCATAGAATATATTTTGATTTTCCCTCTTTTCCTCTCAAACTTATCCCCCTCTCCAAACCCACCCCCAATCTTATGTCTTTTTTTAAAGTCCACTGAAAAAAGAATATCTTGTTCCAAATATTTTCATATAATGGCTTAGTAAAAATAAACAAACATTGTTGGAGAGAATTATTACTTTGGTGTTTACAAAATGATTTGATTACTATCACTCTTTCTAAATTTATTTTTTGCGATGTTTTTATAGTGAAAAGATTGTAAAGATTTATTCTCTGTTTTTACTGATTAAAAAGTTAAATGTATTTATAAATTCATGGATTATTTTATAATTTTATTCCTTACAATTTATTGTGATGATTATTAAATAAGAAATCAATTAGTAATTTTCCTGGAGAAATTAATTAAAATGTTTGTTATGCATGCTGCTATGTAGTTTTTCATAATTATCCATTAAAAGTAAGGAACTAGAAGAAAAACATATTTTGAGAATTCAAATTTTTAATGCTTTAGATGTCAGTGAATTGATTTAAAGCATCACAAAATTTTAGTGTGTAGAAGACAGGTTAAGATCATCTCAGCTCTCAATTACTCAAGTGTTTATAAAGAGATAGGTAAGACAATGTATAGACATACTAAATTCTGGATGTTCCTTTAAATAACTCAGCAATTTATCCATGTTTTGTATATATGTTTCATACTTTTCTATTAGACATGTTATAAAGCAAACTTCTGAACGTTTTGAGTCCTAACAAAGGTGAATTTCATCCATTTTTTCTTTACTCTTGTGCATGACTATAGCTAATAAGTTGCTAAACTTGTTGCCAGAACAAAATTCTGAATCTTATTTGCATGTACCTATTGAAGAAAATGCTTATCCTCAGATCTTTAAATATGAGAAGCAGCTCTTTTTTGCAATACAAAGGGTAGGAAAATATTGTGTATCTGTGTTCATCATTAGCAAACATTAATTAAATACACTATGGATATTTCCTAAATATTTGTACACTGGAAAACCCCATACCTAGCTGCTGAACTCAGTGTTTTGAAAGCAAAAGACAGTTGGGTGAATGCTGACGGGCTGCCCATTCAGTAGTCCCAAAGGTCTGCCATTGGCTCAGCCTGTGGGAGGGTTCTGTTTGGCACTCAGCCATATCCGGGACATGAGGTTATACAGTTTGTCCTTAAACACGAAGAGGTAGTTTGTGCAGTATCAGAAATATCCCTGTCATTGGTCAAGGGAGGGGGAAGGATTCCACTAATACTTAACTTGAAGGCCCATTAAATTTCGAAATGATGTGTCCATACATCACATGACACTGAGGGTCAAGGTTACCTGGAGAGAGTTTCTTCAAATATTCTCTCTGCAATTTTATGTTCCTGCCTGCTTTCTCAATGTTGAACTTTCAGTTCTGTGTTATAGAATACTAGGCAAAATTTGCCTACATTTCAACTCCCTGAATATCCAAGGGTATTAGAATAATCACAAAACATTTTTGTGATTATTCTAATACCCTTGGATATTGTTCTAATGGAGGTTATAAATCCTATGCTTAGCACTTCTTTTAAAAAAGGAAACAAAATTTGAAGACGGCAAAATAAAAAAGTAGAAAATTACAAAGTCAAATCATGGAGCATCATATGCTAGGAATGCTTAAACTTCTATCATATGGATTTTGCATACCACAGTGGAATAAGCAGTGTCTCCAAAAACTCTGTCTGTCCAGAATCCCAGAATTTGACTTCATTTGGGTAGAAGCTTTCCAGGATGTCTCTTTAGAGGATCTCATTATAAAATCTTCTTGGATTTAGGAGGGTCCTATATCCAAATACTGGTGTCTTTATGAAGAAACAGGAAAACCAAGACAAAGAAAAGAGAGAGCCATGTGGAGATGAAGGCCGATGGTGGGCTTAAAGCTGTCAGTGCTGAAAATGCCAGCAGCCACCTGAAGCTGGAAGATGCATCTAGGAAAGATCCTTTTAAGGCTGGCAGTGGTGGCACAAACTCTTAATCCCAGCATTCAGGAGGCAGCAGCCAGCAGATCTCTGAGACTGAGGGAAGCCTGGCCTACATAATAAGTTTTCTAGGCCAGCTGGGGCCTAGAAAAAAAAAAAAAGAAGAAGTAAAACCAGAACAAAAAAAAAAAAAAGAAAGCATCTCTTTAGAGTGTTTCAAGGTAGGATGGCCCTGGTGGCACCTTGACTTTGGGTTCAGGGCATCTTTGATTTAGGACTTTAGCCAACTTCATTTGTGGTTTTTTGTTACAGCAGTTTGAGAAAACTAATACATATACCAAAGGAGAAAGCACGTGGGTTTTAACCGACTCATCAAAAACAAAAAAAAAAACAAGAAAGCATCTCTTTAGAGTGTTTCAAGGTAGGATGGCCCTGGTGGCACCTTGACTTTGGGTTCAGGGCATCTTTGATTTAGGACTTTAGCCAACTTCATTTGTGGTTTTTTGTTACAGCAGTTTGAGAAAACTAATACATATACCAAAGGAGAAAGCACGTGGGTTTTAACCGACTCATCAAATGCCTTTAACCTTTCTGGCATTTGGCAAAGCAAGGCTATAAACTGTAAGCTGTAGCTTAGTTTTGCTGTGAATTTTAAAGAATACCACTGTTATTATATGTTACACAATATCAGATAATAGATTACACAGTTGTACGGATTAATGCATGTGATAACTGATAGGGATACTGGGATAAACACAGATGCAAAGATTTTCATCAATTATAATTGCAATCCAAAGGCAATAAATAGTTCACAAATGTGAATCTTCTAATGTTTTCAATATATCAAGACCAATATGAAACACTTTTGCACTATATTTGGGTTTAAGCCTAAGGATAATTATCCTCATTAACAAACGTGGAATGCCTGTTGGGGTCCAGATACTGGTTCCAGCTATAAAGGATACATCAGTGAGAAAAACAGACATCTTGATTCTGATGGAGCTTCTGCCTTAGCAGGGTCAGGCACAAACCCAATGCATTAATGCCTCCTAAAGTTGAAGGGAATAAAGCACACTGTAGACTAGAAAGTAGAACAGCACAGAAGTGCTCCAAAGTCCTCAGTGTGAGGAAATGGCAGTGGTGATGTTAATACACCTGGTGTGGAGTGAAGATAGACTCAGGGAGGCAAAATATGGCCTGACTCTTGGCAGATAAAGGAGTTGCTTAACAGAAGATGAGCAGAAGATGGTGGGAAAGGACTGGAGATCAGGGGGTACTGGCAGGCCAGGTCACACTGGACTTGTAGACCAGTGAAAAGGTTTGTTTTGTTTTACTTCATTTTTCAAGTGAGTTTAAAGAGAAATGACAAGATCCAATTTAGACTTAGTTTTTTTTTTTCAATTTTATTTATTTTACTTTATTTTGGGTTTGATTTTGTTTTGTTTTGTTTTTTTTTTGTCTTTTGTTTTGTTTTGGACAAGGTCTGCGTGCATCCCCAGCTGGCCTGGAAAATTGCTATGTAAACCAGGCTGATCTCAATCTCTGTCTCCCGAGTGCTGGGTTAAAGGCATGAACCATCATGTCTGACTCTTTAAATGTATTTTTTATTTTATATGTACAAGTGTGTTCCCTGCATGTATGTAAGTGTACCACATGCATGTAGCACCTGCCAAGGTCAGAAGAGGGCTTTGTATTCCCTGGAACTGGAGTGGTACTGGGAACTGAATCCCAGTCCTTGGGAAGAGAAGCCAGCTCCCTGGATTTACTGTTCATTATATGGTTGAGCAGACAAAAAGGAACAGTGGCTATGCCAGGGTGGGAGGATTACAGAGAAGTTTGTAAGTATTGCCAGATTCTTCATGCAGTTTTAAATGCAGAGACATGTGGGATGTGAGAGAAAGGGTCCTGGGTGACTGCGGTTTTTAAAGTGTGCAACTAGAAAGACAGAGGAATAGTCAAGTGAACTAGAGAAGGCTTTCTATAAATATTTTGTGGAAGTAGAACACTGAACTTGACTCTGATCATATTGAACCTGAAGTATCCATAGGCCATCAAGCAGGGGAATAACTGGGTACTCTCTTTATTTTTAAGTAAATTATTTTTAGAATTTTTGAGAATTTCATAGACCATTCAACATATTTTGATCATTTTTACCCCTCCTCTTCCTCCTGACTCCTCCCAGATTCACTCCCTGTCCCTACCACCTCCCAAATTCATGTTTACTAGACCACTTATTCCAATTTGTGTGGCAACAGCATGGTGCTGTCCAGTGGAGCATGGTCAGCCTTCTAGGGGCCACAGATTTAAGGAAAACTGACCACTTCCCCAAAGCAGTCAACTGCAACAGCTTCTCAGCCAGGGGCCAGGGCTTATAAGCCCCTCCAATCTCCATGAAGGAATGTTGACTGGTTTGATTTTGTGCAGGCAACCTCAGGTGCTGTGAGTTCATGACTATCAGGATACTGTCCAGAAGATGCTGCTTGACTCTGGTCTTCCCAGAGTCTTTTACAATCTTTCTGCTCCCTTTTCCATGGTGATCCTTGAGTCTTGGTGGGAGAGGGTATAACATAGATGTCCTATTCATGGCTGAACACTTAGACACATAGACACTTACTGGCACTTTGACCAGTCATGAATTTCTGCATTAACCACCATCCACTGAGCAAAGGCACTTACCTTATGAGGTCTGAGAGCTACAATAACCTGTAGATACAGAGATATGAATTTAGAGGGCAGTCTGATACTATATCTATTTAGCAAGATAATAGTAATAGTAGATTTACCACTGGGTCTACCCGGAGCTGGATCTTGCCAGACCAGTCTTTATTGTAGCTCATAGGGTTTACAGCTGGGGAAGAATGCTAATTACCCACCCCACCTCCCCCAGCAGCCTGCATAGCACCTTCTGGTACTATGAAAACTATCTACTGGTTAGGAAGCTGCCTGGTCAGTACCAACTTGATACCTCAGTGTCCTGTGGCCAAAATATATGATCACTTAAGCAGCAGGGTCATACCATCAAGTTCTGGAGTAATACAGAGCAATGGAAATAGCCTGTTATTGTTTGAGAATTTGGGCAAATAATTCTGGGATTCAAAGAGGAGGTCTGAGTTAGACATTTGGGGTTGATGGTAAATAAGTGGAAATGAAGGTCATTACAACGAATCACTAAAGCAGAGACTACAACTAAAGAGAGCATCAAGTGTTGAGCCTTGCATCTCTAATTTTTAAAGCTACAGGGAAAGAGAAGCATCAATGGAGTGATCGGTGAAAAAGGAGTGAGCTGTTCTTGAATCCAAATGCAGACGATGAGGCATAGAAGAAGCCTGGTCAGTTCCTTAAAATTCTGCTGCTGACACGTCTCAAAAGAAGAAACACAAATGATTATAAATATTTCAAACAATGTTCAGCATCCTTATTAATCAAAGAGATGTAAATTATAACTGCTTTGAAATTTCATCACTCCAGTCAGAATGACTATCATCAAGAAAACAAATGTCAACATCTGCTGGAGGGGAGGCGGGGAAAGAGGAGCCTTCACAGTGCTGGTGGGAATATAAATTGATACAGCTACTGTGGAAGTCTGAGCGGAGGTTCCTCAAAATCTAAAAATAGGGACTGGGGAAATGGCTGAGTGGTTAGGAGTACATGCTGCTCTTTCAGAGGACCAGAGTTCAGTGGCCAACACTGGGGTCAGCTTGCTCACAGCTGCCTTCATCTCCAGTCCAGGGCAACTGAGGACATTTTCTGGCCTCTGAGGGCATCTGCACACATGTGGCATACACTAATACAGGCATACATATATGAAATTAAAATAACTCTTTCATAGTAGCTCAAAGTAGAACTATTACATGACCAGCTACATGCCTCTTGGGAATACACCTGAAGGACTCTGAATCAGCACAACACAGAGATACATGTACATGCGCTCTTCACAATATATGAGAAATGGAACAGTATAAATGTCCATCAATAGATAAACATATAAAGAAAATCAAACCTATATGTACACTGTAAATATCCACATGATGGATATTTTTCAGCCATGAAGAAAAATGAAATCATAACTGTAGGAAATGGATCAAACTGGAGAAAATCATGTTAAGCAAAGTAACCTAGAATCAGAAAGGCAAATACCACGTTTTTCTCATATGTGGAACATAGATTTAAATTTTTATGTGTGTAGGTCATAAAAATTGAAAGGGGACCACAAGAGAGGAGGAAGAGTTCTGAGGAGAGGAGGAGGGGAAGAAAAGAGAAGTTTACTGAATTCGGGCGGTGTGAAAGCAGAGAACTATTTTGGGGGAGGAAGGAGACCATGGAGAGGAGGGAAGGAGGTTTATGAAGGAGAACAGCTGGTAGGATGAATAAAAACAAAATATACTGAAAATGCTGTGCTGTAAGACACGGCTTGGTTAACTGAAACAAATGTGCTGCCGATGAGCCAAAGTGAAGCCTGAACATTAGCTTTAGGAAAGTGCAGAGTTTGAGAATTAACAAGTTCAGCATGTAAGTGATTTAAAGAAGGGCGTAGGAAGAGAAGCTGGACACAGTACATGCAAACAGCTCTCTTGAGGAATTTTTTTTTTTTTTTTTTTTTTTATTCAGTAAGAGGAGAGCCTGTTCTAGTGGCCTTGGGCTCTTAGAGAACCTCTCATATCAACATCTTCTAGGCTCCCTTTTATTTGCTCTCGGGCCATGAAAGTTTGCTAAGTGAAGCAATAAAACGGTGCTGCCTGGGAAAATAAGATTAATAAAAGTTTTCTCAAGCTAGAGAAATAATAGCATGCTTTTTTATGTTTACCAACACTAACAGAAATGATTCACTTAAGAATGAATATGTGGGAAAGAAGGCACGATTGTCAGAGCAAATTAGGAGATTTTTATTTGTTGGTTTGGCTTGGTTTGGGGTTT